CTTATCAATTAATTATTCTCCCTATTATTTCATATCATTCTAAATTATGTGTATGTACCTCAACTTCAATTTCATAACTATACCTTAAGTCTGGATCATTTCATCCCATAGTAAAGACAGATACTTTACATTTGTGTAACATGAGGAACATTCGGGACCCCTCTCTGATGTTTCCCTCAGTAGTTCTTTGAATTAGGCAAGGGAGATGTAATTCTCATTTTACAAATGAGGATACTGAGACTCTAAGAGGTAAGGGAATTGCCCAGCCAGATAGGTAATTCAGGAAGAGATGGATCTCAGGGCGAGGCTTCTAACTTCCACGTTCTTTCCACAGTAGCTTGCTATGATGCCTGGATCTCATCCTGACCTACACTCCAGGCCCAAATACATAATGCTCAATTAAGGTGAAAAGCTGAGATGTTAGGGCACTCATTGCCTAGGATGGCAATCCAACCTCCTCTTCCCACCCAAGAAAGCCACCCAGTTTCCTCCACATTGACATTCCTCTTTTCCCCGGGATTGTACACTACTCGGGAAGACTCTTGTCTCACAGAGAGAAAGCGCCTCACCAGGACGACAGCTTCACAGTGCCCGGGCTACACGGCATCCCACGGGAAACTGGATTTACAGAAACCATATTGCCGAGATGATCATCAAACAAGTATTCTCTGTTGGGATGGGGCTCTCTTTTTTTTAATGGAATGTTCTATTTTAGGCCATATTGACAGCACATACAGTTTTGCCATTTTGGATGCCCTTTCAAGTTGGGTTTATACCGAGTTAATGATACATCAGCAGATAAAGGAGAATTCTGTTACTGCCTGAAGTATCAAACACTACCTTGTTCCCATGTGATTTATTAAACTTCTCAAGCCTCACGAAGGTTAAAGTGGGTCACACTCATGACTCTGCACCAAAGCCTAACGCTACCAGTTTCATTTATGTGAGAAAGAAAATTAAGAGACATTTCAAAGTTGTTATGCCAAGGTCCTCTGGAAAGTAGGAATGGTGCTCAGTGTCATAAAATGTACTTGCTGATGATTTTCTTTTTGCTTTTAAACAAGTTGAAGAAAAGGAAGGTAAAGGCTCTAATCTATCACGGCCCCACAAACCTGCCAATGCCAGGTTTGTAGGAAAAAATAATTGTATTTGCAAGCTTACTATGCCTCAGACACTGTGCTAAGTGAAAATCATTGAATATATTATCTCATTTAATCCATGTAACAATGTATGAGATATGTATTATTATCCCCTTTCTACACATGATGAAGCCAAAGTTAAATTATTAATTTTCACATTAGGAAAAGAATGCATGAAATATTCCTTGCTTATTGGGATTGCTGATCATAAATCGCTGGTGGCAAACTTGAGTAACAGCTTCATCTGTTTGACTGGCACAGTCACATAAAACTCAAATACTATCTTAATCCTGGTTGTAGACTGCAATTTCCCTAAATGTCTAGTTCCAAACTTGTTAAGACTTATGTCCACTTAACACAATTTATTCTTTCATTTGGAGGCATAAAAAGAAAAATACTGAATAAAAACATTTAAAAGCACTCCTGAGACAGAACATAAAAAATAAACTGAATTTTGACTCTGACCTGGATGTGAATCATCCAAGCTGAATCTCTGTGGGTTTTCGTTGCCTCACCTATAAAATAACCAACCCTACAGATTCTAAGAACAGATGAGTTAAAATATGTGCAATATTATGTAATACATGTGAAACCACCACATAATTCTAATCATTATTGTTGTTTTTATTATGAATGAGCTGATAAATAAAGTTACCTAGAGGGAAGTAGGATGCGATGTGTAAATTGAATCAGACACAGCTGTCTTTGGACCAGGAAATTCTCTCCTGGTGCTGCTAAGCATTCATTCTCGCTGATCTGAGCTGCTTTTGTAAGAATGGTGCTCTTGCTAGCACAGGGAGAAAAATCATCCTGGTTCTCTCCCTCCCTCTCATCTCTGCACAGATCTTGGCTGCCTCGCATTTCGATCTCACAGTAAAATGAGATCTAAGTCTCATGTGGAACAGAAAACCCCCCCAGATCACGGAACTCCCTCTTCAGCCTTGCTGTGTTGTCCTTCCGGAACCAAAATTGATCCAATCTCCAAATGCAAGGCACACAGGCTACTTGGCCAGAGAAGTCTGGCCAAGCAGACCCCTGGTCCCATTTGCCAACAGCTTTACCACAACCATACGATTTGTGCAGAGCCAACCGACAAACATACCAAACCCAGGTCTCTCTAGTTTAAGCAATATATCCACATAAGCCCAAGGAGAAAACTCCTTGACACTTTATTTGGGGAGTGGGGAGGGGGAAGCATAAGAACCTTTGGTTAACAAAACAGTAAGTTACCAAGCACCAGAGTGTTCCTGAGTGCCAGTGCTATCAGGTGAAATTCAGTCACTATAACTTCTATAGGCCAGCTGTACTACCAAAATTTTCCTTCCACAAAATGTTCATGTGGCAGACTTTAGCTGGCTTCTTCTCATCTGGTACTTCCCTAGTAAAAAAGCCCACCCTACCAAATGCATTGACCACCGACACATGGTAACTAAGTAAAAATTAGGGCCTATTAACTAGGCAGGGCAATGCATCCCAAGATGATAGAAGGGCACTTTGGTTTTTTTCTGCTTTTTTAATTTAAGACTTAGTAGGTTTTATGATCTCTGGGTTATGTTCCTTTTGGTAAAGCTCAGTCATGAGTAAATTAAAACCGCAAATCATGGAAACAGAAATGAAAGACCCACTAAACTCTCCCTGAGCCACAATCACTCAACCTTAGTGCACTGCAGTCCCATACCTCTAAAGGCTGCCAGATGGAAAAAAATGTCCCCCAAACTGGTAACTGTGAGTCATAATTATATTACTAATCAGAATTGTGCTATACATGGACATCGCTGAATGAGCAACTCTGCTATGGAGGAAGGAGACCACCTTGGCCCTGGAGAAAGACTGGTCTTTCAAAATGAAGTTAATGGATGTGTAAGTGTGGAGTATATAATCGTGCATCTCTTGCCTAAATGTCTTTATAAAGTGCAAATTAATGCAGATCCTAACCAGGTATTTGGAACGCTAACCTAGTTTTCTGTGTTTAGCTAATAGCTAACAATTTTGCTCACACTTTGATCCTCTCATTACATTGCGATGATGATTATTTAGTAAATACACGTGAAAGGCCACGTACTCCACGCACCCCTCCTGGGTTGGAAATAACCCCCCCCCTACTGCTTCTATTTATATAATTTAGTTATTGATACACCAAATCAAGTATAGCTGTGACAGTCTCCCACTAATGCCTCTTTTGGAGGCTAAACAGACCCATTCTCAGCTGTTTCCCCCCACCAGGGGACCAAAGATTGGTGGGGGAGGAATCTTAATCTCCATGAATGTTAACCCTTTGTAAATCTTAAAGGAACTTAGGTGGCTTGTCTGATTTGCAAATTATTTATGATGCTGGAGAGATGCAAGGAAAGGCTGTTTTCTAACTAGTGAAATATTGTGGAACAGGAGAATTTAAAACACACATGTAGAAGAGTTAAGATGTAAAATGTGGCCTTGGGAGAGGCCACCTAGTCCATCCTGGACACATGACTGATCAACCTTTACAGGTTACCTGGGAATTTTTCCTCTTAGAGTTCCCCCTAGAGGATCTGGAGTGGCCCCAGGCACTTCTGGTTGTCTGCCAGATATACAACATTTCTCTAACGTATTACATAGGCAAATTTCTTCATAGGGTGGCCAAGCTCCAAAGAGAATGATTTTGAATAAAAGGTTCCCCATTCCTGCCCTATGAGGAGAATGTTGAAACTCAATAGTACTGGGTCCCGGGTAAGTGCAGACAAGGATTTTCAATATCCAGCAATATCCAGAATCAGATCTGGCTTAGAGGGAGTGGACTGCCTGGGCTGAAGGAAGATGCAGGAAACATGGCCCTCCACCCCAACGCTGCTCAGGAATGTGTCTGCTCACCGGCAAGGTTCCTGCTCGCCTCTCCTGGGGACTTCATGGGAAGTTGGCTGAGTCCCCAGTTCTGCAGAGGGAATACAGGCAGAGGGGAACACTGCAAACTGACCTTTGCCTGGACACTTAAATGACAGGTGTGAGGGGACCTAAGGTGGATACTGAACTGGGGAATACTGCTGATCCTGGGGCTCCTTCTCTCTGCTTCTCTGCACACCCCAACTCCCCACACCAACAACGACACTGCCTGGAAATCAGAATCCCTCCCAACACGCAGATACACAGGCACAGGCTGGCACAAGCCCTGCCTCATTCACCTCATCACCCTGGCTTCCCATTAGCTCCTGAAACCACATGCTGCCACAGCAGCCTGAGGCCAGTGAGTCCTAGCTAGCAGATCCTTGCCACTGGGAATTAAGAAAGGCCACGATCTAAAGTGCTTTTTATGATATAGTGTTGTTTCAAATCGGTGTTGCTTTTATTTGGTGTGCTAGTATGTTTCAGACCATCACAAGGGGTCCTGATGTGTCCGGGGAAGGCAAGGAGGACCTCCACATGCCTCTCGTCCCTGCTGGTATTCTCCAGTCCTGCAGTCTCCTGCAGTCTCTCAAAGTGCCTAGATGGCAGAGCTCTGCGTCCATTTTGCCAGCCAGGAACCACCGAGTTGGGGAACTTTGAAAGCCGGGGGTGGGGGTTGGGGTTTGCCAAGGCTCAGATTTCAGGTCCAGAGTTCTCAGCCAGGGAAGCAGTTGAAAATCAACACTCATCTGCCTCTTCTTTCTCATTCTAAACCCCTTCTATGTTCTAGGACTCCAGACAGCAAACACCCACCACACACACCTTCTCGTGCCTAGTCTTTCATCCTGAAGGCAACAAGCCTGCAGAGCTGAAAGGGTCTCTGCCCCCATCCCCTCCCCTCCCCATCCCGCGACGCTCCTGGACTGTCTACACACAATAAAACCCTATGCATTCCAAACACCACAACATACCCCAAACAGCCCGTGGCTCGCGCGCGTCCCATACCTGATATGCAGACGATGAAATTGGCTTGAAGAAGAAAAAGCACCTCCCAGACTATTTCCATCCTCTGATTCTCATTCCAAGTGCATCACTCGACGGGAAAACAGGGGGGCAGGGGACAGCCCGACACGGCACATACACACACGCACCACACACTTCCGAGCGAGCGCTCACTCGCACTCCCACCCGACAGCCAGCCAGGGACCGTCTCCCCCAAGATCAATATCGCAGTTCGAATGCTTCCGGCAAATCTCCCCTCGAGCTCGACGGATATGCGCCCCACATGTGCTGACACATGTCCGATGCCTCGCTGCCCCGGAGGTCCCCCCGCTGGCCGGTCCCTGCTCCTCGCACGAGCGGCGGAAACAGCACTAGCGGCGGCGGCGGGGGCAGCCACCTGAAGCCACCAGCGCCGGGCTTCTCCTGCAGAAACGAGACCGCGGTCGGCCGGACGCCCCAAGAAGACATAGACGATAGCCCCCCGCCGGGCCGAGCCGCTCAGTTCCGGGCCCCGGCGGCTCGCAGCTCGCAGGCTAAGCCCAGTCAGTCCGCGGCAAGTTGCCCTCGAAGTCCGCCCCGCTCACCGGGGCATGGTCAGAGGCTGGCAGCTCCGCTCCCGGGCCGTTCTCGTCCTGCTTCCGGGGGGCGGGGGCAGGAGCAGGCACAGCAGACAGAGAGACAGAGAAAGACAGGCAGGGATTATTGCCCGAAACCGCCGGCCGCCGCTGCTTCGCCGACCCTCCCTGCTCCCACGTCCGCGCACAGCCCGCCGCGTCCGAGCCCGGCTCGGGCGGCGCGTCCCGGCCGCCGAGCGCCAGGGGTGCGGGGCCGGGGACCCGGGCGCGTCGGAGGCCCGCGGGCTCGCCACGTCGCGCGCGCGCGCGCTTTCCGTTCCTCTGCTAGGTTCCTGGGCTCCCCAGAACCCCCAGTTGCCTCGCTCCCATCGTCCGCAACTAGCGCCGCCGCCGCGATTTTCCGCAATGCAACTGCAGGGGTCGTTATTTCCTCGCCTACGGATCCCGACACCGCCCGGCTCGCAGGGAGGAGGAGGGCAGGTGTGGTGGGGGGGAGCGGGCGGGAGCGGGAGGAGGGGCGGCTCGGCCAGGTGAACGTCCTCGCCGCCGCCCGGGGCCCCGCGTGGGCCCCGGCGCTCGGGGGCGGAGGCTGGAGGCCGGGGTGGGGAGGCGAGGCTGAACGCGGCCATGAGCAGGAGGCGCTGGGCGTCGGAGCTCCCGCCCCAGCGGCAGGCGCCGGGCCCCAGCCCCGGGCTCCGACTCCTCACTCCGCCCCGCCCCGGCTGCCTCAGTCACCCTCCCGGATTTGGGGAGTTTCTCCTCTCCTTAAAAAGAACTTCGTGCCAGCGAGTGCGGCGCGGGAGACCCGGGCGGGACTCAGCCAGAGAGTGCTGTGCTGCGCTCTCCCTCCGCAGCGGAATATTGGGGATTTTTTTTTTTGCATAATTCATTTCCTGCCCTCTCCCCCACGTCCCTCTCCTGCCCCCCTCCTCCTTCCCCGTTTCCGCTTGGTTGCCAGAACACTACTTACCCCAGAGTTCTCTCTGCAGGTTCCTAGACCAGGTGCAACTCTTGCCTCCAAGTCCCTGACCTCCCTCCTTCCTCACGGCGGAACCGTCTTTCCAAGTCCAGGTGCGAGCAGAGCTGCCGCCAGCTGCGTCTCTGCCCAGCTCCGGGAGGAAACCCTGGGTTTAGGGGCTTTTCTTTTTTTTATTCTGTTTTTCTTTCGGGAAGCTCAAGTGCTTTGGAGGCTTTTGCTGGGCTCCAGAATACTCCGCCCCAGCGGCACTTACCAGCTTCCACTGAAGAATTTCCTACCCAAGCCGCGCGCGCGCACGCCCAGCGCGGCGGCCGAGGCCCCAGGGGAGGAGGGGGCGGCGGGAGCACCCCCCGCCACCGGCCGCCGCCCGAGCCCGCCGGCCCGCGGGAGGTCTCCCCGCGACCTGGGAAGGCCAGGCGCCGGGTCAGCAGCTGGGAATGGAGCTGCGGGACAACTGGTAGGAAACCCTGCGCTCGGGACTGTTCGCCTGAGAACCGGGCTGGGAGCGAGAGAAAAAAGAATCGTAGCAGATTTGTAGTGTCTCGATCGCGGCAGCAGCGTTTTGATCACGCCCCGGACCTACCTCTTTGCAAGGGCTGAAGGAGAGGAGGGCAGGGGAGGGGAATCCCTGGAAAGATCTCGGATTTCTGGGCGCGCTTGACCGAACTGCAAACTGACGCTTGGAGGATTTGCACAAGCGCGGATGGGCACACACAACAAACACAAACACACAACCCGCACGGGGGTGGGGGGTTGCACTTTTTAATATTTTGATGTTTAGGAGCCATTTCAGTGTGAGTTTCGGTCTGATAACCGCATAAGGGGTGGATAGGTGCAGAGGGAGGAAAAGGAAAGAGTACCGTTCATCCGCACAGAGTCAATTTAGTGAGTCTTCCCGGTTGTGCAGCTGAGGAGGGTGCGGGGTTGGAGCCAACCGAGCAATAACACTGTGGCCTCCCCAGGACTCGAACTGACTGCAACTGCCCAAGAGGCCCGCGGGTCTTTCTCCAGAGTAGCGGCGCGGGGTGAGGGGTGCGCCAGGAGCGGGGTCCAGCAGTCTGAGCTTCCTAGGTTGGGCGGACTTTGGGAACCACAACTGCGCTGTCCTGCTGCACCCAGGGATTCGAAAAAAGAACCACCGTCATACTTGCCTACTCTGCAAGAAGGAGGTGTGGCCAAGGGATCTGTTCTCTGAGACTACGGCCAAGGACTCCAGGTGGTCAACACATGCAAAATTTGGGCCCAGATGAGCCCAGGATCCTTATACAGAGCTTCCAGGCTCCACAGGAAGACATTGAGACCTCAGATCATTAAAAATAATCTGAGATATTAAGAATTAAACCATTTGGGGAACATACGGGGGCGTGTTCATCTCCATACCCTGAAAATGTACCGAAAGAGAGGGGTTTTTAAAGGGAGAAAAATGAAAGCAGTTTGCCAAAGATGAACAGATTCCACCCTAACCAGGGTTTGGAACCATGGATGGTGACCTACCTTCTGCACTCGGGAGTGGAATTTGCTGCCAGCAGATCTCTTTGGAAGCAGAAGAAGGGTGCCTGGATTTTTATACTAGGATCCATTTATTTATTAATGAATTACACAGATATTGACTGTCTTACACGTGTCAAGCACTGTGGCACAATATTGGGGTTTTGTAATTGAAAGTCCATAATCTTTGCTTTCAAAAAGCTTGCAGACCATATTTCCTTCTATAGTTTGCCTTAAGAATCAATGCCAGTAAAATAATACTTAACTTTCCCCTTTTCAGCCTGTACACTCACCTTCAGACCTCTCATAGATTAGTGTCTGCACCAAGTCCTTTCAATTAAAAAAAAATCAACTCAGATGATAGCTTGTTTAAGTAAAAATATTAGTCACCAGGTATTGTTTGCTTTGTACCAGGGATTGCCAAATCCCTTATGTGGATTATCTTATATAATCATCATAACATCCATATGAGAGAAATATTATTACTTCCATTTTGTAGGTGATAAAACGGAGACCCAGAGTAGTTATTTGCCCAGCTACTGATGGGTAGCATAGGGATCACAGCCAGGCCTTCCCAACTCCCTTCATGCTCTGTGAAATGGAAAGTATCATCTTGGGCAGGTCATTTTGTACTTAGATAAAGCAGAGGTCAACACATGCCACGGCCAGAAGTGAATCAAAGGCAGGATGAAATGTAATGGTATATTATACAGTTTAGAACTTGACTACCGTAGAATTGGAAGAAAGAAAAGATCACGGGGAATTAGGAGTAATCAAAGGCATTTCTCATGAAAGAATCTGAGAGCCTGTTAAGTGCTAATTCTGTTCTTGGCACTTGGAAGGCAGCATTGAACACAAGACTCCCTCAACATTTAGTTTTTGTATTAGTGTTTTCCAGGAGAAGAAAAACAATATTTTCTTGAGTCATTTCTAGGCTTAAGCCATTACATTTTCTAAGAAAATCTCCATCTTAATTCAGAAAATGACTCAGTAAAAGCATGTATCAAGTAGGAACCTTCTGTCTTCACTCTTTCTTGGTTTATTTTTTTAACCCACATAACAAACAAAAGAAATTTTTTAAAAACTCTATGAAGATAGAAAATATTTTGAGCAATTTTTTTTCAGATTTTCACGAGGTTGTACCCTTATCTGGAGAACTACAAAGAATCTGTCTGCACTATGCCTTCATCTGTTGTTTCTTTCCCACACTACATTTCTCCACTACAAATTCAGTGCAAGCATGTTACTCATATAACAGAAAGTCTTGGCTGACCCCAAGGGTGGGGACCAGTTCCAGTTGTTCCCTAGAACTCAGGACATTACAGTTCTATTCTTCAGGAGAGGACAGTCCTGAAATCCTCTGCATTCTTTCTCCACCTCTTTTTTTCAACTCCATAGAAAAAAGGAGTGACTCATCTAACTGGCAAAATTTTTGAGAGCTTCACATCAACTAAGGCACCTTCCCCAGAGGCTGGGCACTTGTATTAGAAGACAGAGCAGACCCATATCTCTTCTCCACTCCTCTTCTCTCTTGGTCAGTCTGCATTCAGGCACAACAGGCTCACTATTTCATTATGTGTTATAGTCTCCAGTCCATATTTTGCCACATTTAACTGGAGAAGAAAAGCGGCTGCCTGAGAAGGGACTCAAGGGAGTGGAGAGGAAAGGAGAGGGGTTACAAAGGAACACAGGGAAATTTTTTTAAAGGAACAGATTATATTCATTATCCTAATTGTGTTGATGGCTTATGGGTATATGCTTATATCAAAAATTACCAATTACGGACTGTAAACATGTGCAGTTCATTTTATGTCAGTTTTATCTCGAGATTATCCATCCAAATGGATGACTCACATTTGCAAATAAAAGGCAGAAACTATAATCACAAACACACCTAGTTAATAACTGGCTGGACTAGGCTTAGAGAATCTCAACCTTAGGGCACTATTGTTCTATGTGAAATGTTACTACTAAATTATTCAGACTTTGAGAAATATTAAAAGGTAAAGGAGTCATTCTTTAACTTGGAAGCTGTTGTATAAAGAAGTGGCTTCCATGTTGTATTATGTTTTTACCTGTTTTACAGGTATT